TGTTAATTTTTAACAGTTTGTCGCTATTTGGAGCGACTTTTTTCAATTTGAATGGAAATATCTCCACAACAAGAGTTTTCCCAGATATAAGCTATATAACAAATGAAAGCAAGAGTTTTGGGCTAGACTTGAGGTCTATGAAGCTGGAATACATTTTCTGAACACACTCTGCAAGACCGATTTGAAAATACCTCCAAAAATAAAGTTGTTTATGAACAAAAATAGTTTCTTAAAGAACTTTTGAAAAAAGTCCCCTCACATGACAAATGAGATTACGCTTAAAAAATCTGTATAAGAATAATTAAAAATCTTTTCAATAGAATCGTAATAATGAGATTTTTGATGCTGTTTTTTTACTTTTTTCAAAGATTGATTTACAAAAAAATTTAATAACTGGGCCAAAACTATTCTGATTTAGACTTATGGAATCTCAGTAGAAAAGTATTTTCACACTGTTTTTATTTCTGCCCAAAAAGAGTAAATCGTGTCCCTTTTTTTTCAAATACCAATCTTTAATCTTTAAGAAACTATTTTTATACCCGAGCGCACTTGTGCACAACTTTGTTCACATAGCGGTTGTTTGTAACAGGCAAAACGAATCGAGATATATATAGACAAATGTACACATAAATGATCAGAATGAAAAGAGAAATCGATTAAGCGGTGACTGTCTGTCCGTCCGCCCGTCCGTCCGTCCGTCTGTGCACATGATAACTCGAGTAAAAATTTAGATATCTTAACGAAACTTGGTACGTGCACTTCTTTCTGGCGTAGGACGGATGGTATTGAAAAGGCGCAAAATCGTACAATAACCACGCCTACCTCCCATATAACCGTGATTTTCAGAAATACGAAAACTACGATATTTTAGAAACTACTGAAGATTATTCACTCAAAATTGATATTTACAATAAGTTTTAGACGAAAAATAAGAATATTATAAATTTTTGGAAAATGGGCATAGCCACGCCCACCTATGGTTACATGTGTATATCTTGGTAACCGCTGCACCAATTTCTTCCAAACTTGGCACAGTTGTTAACCTTGGTATAAAATGCGAAATTGCCGAAAATTTTTACAATCGGACCTCCCATATAACGGTATTTTAGAGAAATACGAAATTTTCGATAAATCAAGTAATTATTGAAGCTAATTATTCAAAACTGATGCTTGCAACAATTCTTTACCAAGAAATACGTTTAGGATAAAATTTTGAAAAATGGCCGTGGCACCGCCCCCTTATGATCACATATATGTATCTCGGTAACCGTTCTACCAATTTGTACCAAACTCGGTGTGTATATTGTGCTTGCCACATAGAAGCAAAAAGGTTGAAAATTATTGAAATCGAACTAAAATAACGCCGATTTTCATATAACGGTAAATTTCAGAAATGCTTGAAACTTCAATATTTCTAAATTTAAGGACGCTAATTTACTTAAAATTGATACACCCCGGTTTACCATGTAGCGGTAGCTTTCGGAAAGGTGAAAAACATATATGTATTTAATACTTGCGCCGGGTATTTAATGTTCGGCTCCGCCCGAACTTAGACTTTCTTACTTGTTATTCATAAAAAACTTCAAATCATTCAAGGTACTTCAAATCGGTTCAGCTCACTTAAATCTGAATAGTTTTCCGAAATATTTGTGTGGACGTCTTAAAATATAATAGATTTTATAATCCCACTGGAAAAATAGTACCAATTTTTTTGTATGGGGAGTGATGCAGTCTAATGTACATATACATTTCTATACATACAAGGAGGAATTTTCCTTATATATACATGTGATATTGTGTATCTAAAAATATAAAGATGCGACCCACCATACATATATATGCACATATACAGAGTGTACCAGAAGTAACCTGCCAAACTTTAGGGGAAGGTAGGTGGGGGGTGAGCTCTCTGATAAACAAAAAATTTTCAGGTAAAAGTGTCACCGTTTTTGAAATATTTACATTTTTTTGAATTAAAAAAAAATCATGCCTTTTCATGTATTTTGTTTAACTGCATCTACAAACCAGGCTATACTTAGTAAATTTTTTATGTAAAATACTTCCAGATAGTTGCTTTTCCATACTCAAATACAATGTAGTTAAAATATATTAAGGAACCATAATAAAATTAGGACTATTTTAGGATTTTTAACTTTTTGATATTTTCTTCACCAACTTTGACTATCTCTGGTGAAAAAAAATGTACTGAGCTATAACTTTACAGTACATAAAAAAATTGCTCATTTAATAAAGATTTCAGAAAGGTGCCACCTTTACTGTTTCGAATAGAAAAAAAAGTTATAGCCGCTTTTGTGGGCAAAGGACTGAGACACGCTAGAATGTATTTAATAGATTTAAATTTAAGTTGCTCTTGTTACCGACCAATGACATGCTAAATAGTACAAAGGTACATTATTACCTACTCCTCACATTATTTTATGCTACTTACCGGAATTCGGAGTCTATAACAAGGGCTATATCTATCAATATTTTTTGTGAAGGTTGGGTTCAAAATTTATTCATTTATTGATAAAATATGCTCAAATTGGCGACCTTCTACTCTAATTCAAGCTCGGCACTTTTTAAGGAAAGACGCTTTTAGAGATCTTAAACTCAATATTTGTTCCCGCAAATGCTCTTCGTTTTGAATTGTTTTTGAATAAATTTTGTCCTTAAGACAGCCCCAGTAGAAAAAATCTAATGGATTCAGGTCTGGCGATCGAGTGGGCCACGTGATTGGCTCATATCGTCCAATCCATCGGCGAGGATAGTTTCGTCCACATGAGCTCTTACTTCACGCTCGTAGTGAGCAGGGCACCCGTCATTTTGCAGCCATAGTCTTCGCCGCAGATTTAAGGGTACATCTTCTGAAAGAGTTGGAAGCCGTTCCTGAAGGAACTCTAAATAACTGTGAGAGTTGAGCGTTGGCTGCAGTTCCACAGGTCCCAGTATCTAACAATTAAAAATACCGCACCATAAATTTATTTTGTACCGGTACTGCGAACATCTTCTCTCATTTCGTGAGGATTGTCTATCTGCCAACTGTGAAGGTTATGTTAGTTAAAATAACCATCACGTTTGTATGATGATTCATCGCTCCAAATTATTTTATTAAAAAAGTTGGGGTCTGATTCATGCATTCGCAACATTTCACGGCAAAATCTAACCCTCGACAGGTAATCTCTTTCTTGTAGAGCCTGAACACGTTGAATGTGGTAGGGATGAAATCGATGGTCTTTTAAAGCTTTTTGAACTGTATTTTTTGGTATTCCCTTCCGTCTTTCCATCATTCTCACTGAAGTCGATGGACCTAGTTCCACTTCCTCTAACACAACTTCAACATCTACCGTTGCAGGACGTCTACCTTTAACATTTTGGTACTATTTATTCATTGAGATTAGTACGAAAACTACACCAGCTCCTAAAATGCGCCACTTTTTTCATTTGGTTCACAAATAGCTCCACGTTAACAAATGTCATTAAAGTTATTCAGGCGACATTCTGAGTAGTGATGTGCTGAATTTTCGGTACCCAATACTTCCTTTTCGGTACCCGATACCGATTCAACATACTAAACTTTCGTCATTATATCTGTTCCGTTCAATTAAAGTAGCTTAAGTCACTTTAGATGGTTTGACTTTGAATTAAAAAAAAAAACAGTTTCCTCTGAAATTGTTTTATATTTTAATTAAGATTCTATTATAGGGGCATCTTGAACTACACCGTTGGCTAGTTAAACGTTAAAATATTGTTTGGGAATCCAATAAAATGTTGCTTTAAAGGGAAAAGGACCTATCTCGACATAGGCTACTTTTGGGGGAAAAAATTATTGATACTTTATAAGACATCGCCTAAAAACCCAAAATGTACAAATAAGACGGTCCTTTCTCAAGAGATGAGCAATGTGTTTGTATGTATGTAGTTAAGTGAAGCAAGCATAATGTGTGCGGCGAACAAGGCAGGCAATTAAATCTGCACAATAATGATCAAGGCGAATTTAATAAGGTGGTGTTAGCCGTATATAAGTTAAAAATCACACTAACAAATTATACGCAGATATTCATACTGTCATTAGTATGAACTACAACAAACACGTAATTTTGATGTAATGTCCTCCACGGCGAAAAATTCAGATACGCCGGTAGCACCACCTTATTAAATTCGCCCTGATAGTGATGTCGCAAAACACACTATCGCCTTCTTTAACTTATCGCAACCGTCTTTCCAACTGCAATAGTTTTGGTGGCAATATTATTTATTTTTAATAGCTGACACTATATGTATGTGTACATATAACTCATATTTTTGGCTGTTGCGCGCTTTTATTAGAAATTCCAAGATTTTGGTACCGAGTATCGAAAGTATTTGATACTTTTTAAATCGGTACCGAGTATCGATCAATACTTAAAAGTAGCGACTCAGCACATCACAAATTTTGAGAGCAATTGACAGTGGTCCAAAGAATTCACCAAAAAATGAATATTGAATACACCACACAGTAGCTTTGTTTCTTACAGATAGGCGCATTTACACAAGGTAGTGTTATCCGAATATAAGTAAAAAATTACAAAAGCAAATTACAAGAAACACATAATTTTCACGTTATGCGGTGAAAAATTCAGCTGTTGCCCCAACATTAGACAGATTAGGCACAGCTACTTTGATTTGCTTCTTTTACATATTTTTGTATTTTTAAATAAATTTGATAAAGTGTGGCAAAACGTGAGTATTTGTGAACAATTTTTAAACATAAAATGCGATTAGAAATTCGCAGCAAATACATATGTTCAGTTGTCAAAAGCAACGGTCAGGTGTTTACTAGCTAGTTTCTGCTAGTCTGCGTTTCTTGACTTTTTCTATATTTCACTCGCTGTGAGCGTAATTCTGCAATTCTTCCCATTCTTTTCCCTGATAATGATTTGCTAGAAAAGTAAAGAAACAAAGCTAGTGTGTGTGTACATAATACACTGCCTGTTTCAATATGAGGTTATTATACATACCATAAGTAGAGCTGCTATCAGTGTTGCCGTTTTGATAAATTGGTAGTTTCATTTCAGGGCTGTTCTGGTTTCGTTCGCAATTGATTTCTCATCGATTTGGATTTCCGATTCCAAATTTTAAAGATGTTTGGCAATCCTATCAAAGTTTTGAAGTTATAATAGAAAATAAATCCTATTCGAAATGTAAAAAATTCATTGAACTGGTGTTGCATAGTATTCGTTTATTAGAACATTTGTAAAAATTTTAAATAAATTTTGTCGAATGGCGGTAATACAATGGTGATGTGAAAGTAGAAAAGCGTACTGAAAGCGTGCTAAAATGGCCTAAAACTCGTACCGAAATATTAAGATTATGTTGCTGACATTCCGTAATTTTATTGTATCATGGTTAAATGAAAACAAATAAATAAAAATAAAATTGCGCGAGCACAGTAATACATTTTTTTGTTACCAAATATAATATGTTTATATCGATTGTATTTTTTTACATTTTAGACATACAATAATTGATATAAATTGAATTAATGTCAAAGATTCATACTTCTACATAAAGTAAAATCAGAAACGAAATAAAATATCAATATCTGATTAGTAAAAAAAATTGGTAGTTTGGAAACTGGTTTGGTAGGATTTTTTGTTCCTAAAAATATTGTCGAGTGGTAACACTGGTTGGTATGTTTAATACACCAGTGGTGAAATATGCATCAATAAGGCACCCCTACACGCTTAAAGTTTGTTTGGGTACTAATGATTCAACATCGTGCCTTCACAAATGCAGCTGCAACAGTACATACGAGTACGAACAACAGCGAGAATTTTTTCTACATAACATAGGTGAACGCTGATTTGTTTTCTTCTTTTCGTTCGCGAACGTTAACAAAACATGTTGAAATGTATACGTTCGCGTTTGCGTTCGAATAATGGACGTGTGGTAGGCGCCTAAACTTCTGTAAACTGTGTTCATTTGACAAGAAACATTTTTTATACCAAATTCTCAAACTGAATTGTGTCTAGGGCAAAATAAATACACCGTTCTTGGCTTGGTAAATATTTTTGTACCAAACTCAAGAATCAGTGTAAGTTATCAATGACGACCATATTTTCAAAGTATTATAAAAGTAAGACTAAGTTCACAACCTAGAGTAATAGCGTTACGCGATGCAATGGAAATTGCTCAATCCAAAGAAACTTCTTCGCCAGCATAACCGCTGGCGTTTAAAAAGTAGCTAGTGTTTAAATTGTAGCAAAATTATACACGACTAATTTTTTATAATAGGGGAGTTTACGATGAGTATCATTTTAGATTTAAAGTTGCTACGTACCAATCTAGCACATATTTTGTTGTTGGGAAAGCAACAAAACGTGTGATACATTGCTACGTAGAGATTCCCCTAAAATATTTTTTTTGTTTCCACAACCCTTTGAAAATTTATACCGAAACTTAAGCATATTGTATTGTATATAATAGCAGTAGAACAGATGTTTAATTTATTATATAAATATGTACATATGTATATTTTGTATTTATTTGGGCTTTAATTATGAGAAAAAGCTTTTTTTAACAAACTGCATACTTTTTATTTGCTTGCACAGCGATAAACACCAAAGACGGTGTAAATGTTGGTTAGAAGCGATTTTTATGTATTCTCGCTACGCTAATACGTTAGGTTGTAAACTTGGCCTAATACTGAAACTCAGCTGGACGCCATATTAAAGCTGTATGACTATTATTTAACTAATTTAACAATTTCATTATGTATATTGGCTCAACTATGCCACTTTATGGGTATTTTCGAACCTTTTTTAAACAGCGAATCTCTTAAAAATTTAATAATGGCGAAAAATTCATTGCTTTCAAAATATAAGTTTGTCCAGATTTATTTAAAACTTTTCAAGTCCTTATAAATTTTGAGGCGCTGAGTTTTAGAGGGGGTAGTACCGAAATTCACTCGACAGAATGTACCTCGTTTTTAAATTAGGAACTCACATTCATATATATTCGCGATTTTTTTGCCTTCATATTACGAAAAGGAATGCTGAGATTTATAAAAAGAATTCCAAGTCGTACAGATTAAAAAAGAGCTTCGGTGTAAATTTTATGTCTGAGTTAATTTTAAATTTGATTAGTAGTCAATTTTATTCCTCGAATCCTTTTGTACTCTTCACACTCATGAAAATATATTTATGCTAGAATATGATGTAAATGTTGATGTTATGGTTACGGAGACCATATTAAGAAATGTAAAATAAAGGACATTTTTTCAAAATTATTTGGGAATACGTACATACAACTTGTAACATAAAAGAACCTTACCCATATCGTAATTTAAATCAAATATTTACCAGTTAATTAACCGATTCCGGAAAATGAAGCCAAATCCTTTTCAAGGACTTCGTCATCCTTTGCTGCCAAAATACATTTACCGAAGTCAGCACACAGAGGTTCAAAATTGGAATTTAATGTTCGTAATTCACCGCAGTCTTCATTTTTCAACCAATTTCTACTAAAAACCAAAAAAAAAAAATTATTTTTGTGAACCTTTTTTTATAACATTTCAAACATTTTTTGTAGTTTCTGCGTTTTGGGGAACCATAAAATTTTTTTTAACTAGTCTTCGTTATGTAACATTTAGTAACTAATGTATTCTCCATTTTATTCAAAATTGCCACTTTTTCTGCATTTTCCACTAAGAAATTTAATATAATCAAATAAAAATTCAAATATCACGCTCAACTGGTATATTGCAAACGTTATAAGCTTTAATAAAAAAATTATCAAATTAAGTGAAAAAAATTAAGGCTCCAGTTAATTACGAACACTAAATGCCACTTTAGACCACTGTGCAGCAGGTTTATTGTTCTCTTTCTATGGAACTGGAAACTCAGCGTGCAACACGATCCTGTGCACAACTTTCCCTGTGCTTTATATATTGTGCAAAGATTACCTATTAAATAAAAACCCTTAAGTGGGGTCCTAATAGTAGGTAGTAATAGTAAGTAGTAGTTAATAGTCCTAATTTTATGATGGTTCCTTAATATATTTGAACTACTTTGCATTTGAGTATGGAGAAGCAACTATCAGTTAAAGAAAATACATGAAAAGGCACGATTTTTTTTAATTCAAAAAAATGTAAATATTTCAAAAACGGTGACACTTTTACCTGAAAAGTTTTTGTTTATCAGAGAGCTCACCCCCACCTACCTTCCCCTAAAGTATGGCAGGTTACTTCTGGGACACCCTGTATGTATGTATATCGCATAAAACGACTTAAATAAAATTATAGTTTAAAAAGCTAAAACCACGTTATTACAATTTCCATTCGTACTGTCATCAGGCATGTAACTTGAGAATAGAAATCGCTGCATCTTTTATTCGCATCAATATTACATAGTTACATCCCGAGCTAATAAAAGGGAGGTAAAATAATAATAATAAAAACATTTAGCTATGGTTAAATCAGATTTTTTTTTTAGTTGACCATTGACCTCGGAATTCACGTTACGGAATTTATTTTTGACGAATAGAAAGTGTTTGGCTCTTTTTAGCAATACTTGGAGTTTAAGATACTATTTTATTTAGGTCTCTGCATTTTCGTTCGCTAGATATTTGCTTTTATATATAAATTTTTTTTAGTTGAACTTTGACCTTGGTATTCAAGGTAGAGAAACTGTTTTTAAGGAATCTGAATAATTTTCCCGTATTCATCGATATTCGGGCTTAATAATAAGCGGCATTATGTTTGTGTCTCTATCTGGTTTGGATCGGGAGATATTTGATTTTGTCCATTTTTCCCCAAAACAGAACACAGTGCGGCGTATAGTGTCGATTAGTAAATGAGTGAAAATCTCCCAAGTGGGCCACCCAAAAGTGGATGGCCAAGATTTTTTCGAACGGTTCGGAGCGGTTTACAACCATAAAAAAAATATATAATTTGAACAATTTTGCAAAATTCGAATTTTTACAAGAGTTATAACTATTAACTTTTTTTGATGAATTCAGTAATTATTTATTATAAACTGATTCATAGCATGTATCTTGCTGATTTTGTCGGGCGGGTGAAATAACACAAACGCCAATAACGCAAATTTGTGTTATTTCCCATTTGAATGTGAAATAACACAAATTTGCTTTATTTCATTTCTCGTTGAGCAATAAGACCAACTTTTATACTTAACAATTTGAGTAATAAAGCAAAATAGTCACCCAGTTACATTTGACAAAAAGTAGACATGAACAAGTTAAATGGACGGATTTGTAAGTATACAATTTTGAAAGTGCCCGGCGTCGCGGCGGTCCGCGAGTTAGTGCAACAGAAAATACACTACTGTACCGACGACATCATCCAATGTATGATACAGAATCAGTAGTTTACATAAAAGATTCCTATTGAACATTATCAGCAACCAAAACATTCCTATTGAAGATTATCAGCAACCAAAACATTGTCAGCAAATAAAAGATTGAAGATTATCAGCAACCACAACATTCCTATGGAAGATTATCAGCAACCAATAAACAAAAGAAACCAGAGGATTAAGCATAGAAATAAGTTAGTCTTCTATTATACTAAAGCATATGAACTTCAGGTTAGAATTGATTTAAGTAAATCTTGGTACCAATAAAATTATACTTATTTATGTACATCGAGAGTATGAATTTAACTGGGGGCGCAATAAGTGAATAATAAAAGGAACTCCTAAAAATTCCGCACGTCCTGAAAAAGAGGACAAGGAGAACCAAAAATAAAACTGGACCGCTTCCGAAAAAAAGCGATTACAAGTGTTTGATCAAGGCAGAGGAATCATTATGGAAGCAAGGGTAGTAACCTTGGAACAAGCTTATGCCGCTGTAGAAGCACAATTAGCGCAGCTGCAGCAAGCGCAAGTACCTGAAATCGAAGAATTCCAACCGATAAGTCCCAGGATAAACAATGCAAATGAAATAAATTTGAGACTATTCGAACGGCTACCAGTGTTCAAAGGAGACACATCCAAATACAGGACATGGAGGGCAACCATCATATCAGCAATGAGTCCCATAGAAGCCTTTCGAGATACCAAACCATATTACGATGCATTATTTATAATACGTCACACGAAGATCGAAGGATAACCAGCAACTCTTCTACAGAATCA